TTTGACCAAGGGTTTTTTCCCGTCCCTGAAAACCATGTTGGCTGCTTTGCTTTAGATCGTTCCTTTTTAGGTGTTCCCACCTTTCTCTGATAATCTTCCCCCAATGATTCCATACCAAAAATGTCATGACACTGTCTGTAGTTTAATGCTTCATGTTCCTCCGTTTTTAAAGTTGGGACTACATTGCTGTTTCCATGCCTCAGCAATCTCCCTTTTCGATAGTGTATTGAATATTGTTGTTGGGGTACACATAGCGCCTTCTGCTTCCCTCTCTCAATACCATGGGGAGATGTTATCTGGCCCCATTGCCTTTGAGGTGGTCTAGCTCACTAGAAGCCCCTTTACTTCTCCTCGGGTTTTGTTGCAGTGTCCAGCACTTGTGGCCCCACCCTCCCGCTTTCTGGAGCCCCTTCTTTCTCTCTGTGAACACTCTTTGAATTCTGTTATTCCTTCACATACTTCACGGTCATTTCTTGTTGCTCATCCTCCTTCCTTCCTTAGCCTGATTACCTGGTCCTTGACTGTTTGTTTTCCTCCTGATGTGCTGGGACCCAAAAGTTTCGGGGCAGATTTGGCTTTTCCCTGCTAGTCATTTCTATTGTCTTTGGGCCTCCTTCTTCTGTGCATATTCGTTTCTGGCTCTACATGCTCTCCTTATTTCCCTGGGTCCTTTTTCTCTTTTCTTCCTTCCTAGCACACTTTGGTTTTTGCCTCCCTGCACCTTTTGGTAAACATGGGCTCTCCCGGCTTTTTCATTATTTCCCGTTACCCTTGGGTAACCAGTGTGTGTGTGTGTGTATGTGTGGTTTATGGTTGTGTGTGTGTGGTTTGTGTGGGTGTGTTGTGTGTGTGTGTGTGTGTGGTGTGTGTGTGTGTGGTGTGTGTTGTGTGGTTGTGTTATGTGTGGTACTTACCTATTTTTTGCAGGGGCGGTCAAGCTCCCGGGGACCGCCCTTCGCTGATTGCTACAGGTCCTCTTCTCCCTGCCCCTGGCTCTATCAATGCCCTTAAAAATATGTAGGGTTCCCCACTCCACTACGTCACTTTAGGCTTGGTTTTACGGCCTGACTCCTAGATGAAGAAAAAACTTCTAACACCCCTTTTTTCATCTGAGTCTTTAAAATTTCCCAAAGTGACCCCTTGTGTCTGTGTCCCTTTTTGGAACACCCGTCTTTGCCCCCTTGTCTATTCCGGCAGTATTTTATATGTCGTTTCATGTCCCCCTGACCCCCCTGTCCCCAGTGTCGTCACCCATTTTCCCTCAAAATTTTTTCGTAGGGCAATCCCCGTGCTCTGGGAATAGTCTTTTTGAAACCTTTGCACTTTTTCAATTTTTTGAGTGCTTGACTAGGTGTGGATTTCCCAAATGGGGCTGCATACTCCAGTATGGGGGCCCGACGAAAGGTATACAAGGGCAAACAATCCTTACTGAGGTTTTCGGAACACTATCCGTGGTTTGCCAGGGGCCCGTATGCGAGCAGTTATCTATTGGGTGTGGCCCTCAGGAATAGCCGGTGTTTTAAATACCCCCCGATCTTTTTTCCCTTTAGTGAGGTTTGCAGTCTTTGGCCCTCAAAAATTTTTGGGTCTGCGGTCTTCTTTGCCCTTTTCCCCAATTTAGACTTTGCATTTGGCAGGGGTTAAAATTTAAGTAGCCCGTTGCTGGACCAGGCTTGTAGCCGTCCAGGGCTCTTTTTAGTCCTCCTGACCCATCCCTTTGATTCTTCCATTAAATTCGATCATCTGCAAAAAAAGGAATTTTGGGCATCCCCCTTCCGTTTTTTCGTTCACATATACCAAGAACAGCACAGGTCCTAGGACTGACCCCTGTGGAACCTCGCTTGTCACAGGCGCCCACTCTGATACCTCGTCGCGTACCATGACTCGTTGTGGCCTCCCTGTCAGGTATTCTCTGATCCATTGCAGTGCCTTTCCTGTTATGTGTGCCTGATCCTCTAGCTTTTGCAGTAACCTCTTGTGAGGAACTGTGTCGAAGGCCTTCTTGCAGTCCAAAAATATGCAGTCGATCCACCCCTCTCTCTCTTGTCTACTTCTGTCACCTTTTCATAAAACTCTAGTAGGTTTGTGACACAGGATTTTCCCTCCCTGAAACCGTGCTGGTTGTCAATTATACACTTGTTTCTTTCCAGGTGCCCCACCACTTTCCTCCTGATGATCTCCATGACCTTGCATACTATACACGTTAGTGATACAGGTCTGTAGTTTAGTGCCTCATGTCTGTCTCCCTTTTTAAAAATTGGGACTACATTTGCCATTTTCCATACCTCAGGGAGTTGCCCAGTTTCAAATGATGTGTTGAAGATCTTTGTTAATGGCTCACACAATATCTCTGCTCCCTCTTTAAGGACCCATGGAGAGATGTTGTCTAGTCCCACCGCCTTTGAGGTGTCAAGTTCGCATAGCAGCTTCTTCACCTCCTCCTTGGTTATATGTACCTCATCCAGCACTTTCTGGTGTGCCCCCCTGTTCTGATTTCTTGGAGTCCTACTGGTTTCCACTGTAAATACCTCTTTAAATCTTGTGTTTAGCTCCTGACATACCTCTTGGTCGTTTCTTGTGAATTCCCCATCACCCTTCCTCAGTCTGATTACTTGGTCCATGACTGTTGTTTTCCTCCTGATGTGGCTGTACAACAGCTTCGGGTCAGTCTTTACTTTTGATGCTATGTCATTTTCATATTATCTCTGAGCCTCCCTTCTTATCTGTGCATATTCGTTTCAGGCTCTACGGCTGATTTCTTTATTTTCCTGAGTTCTCTGTCTTCTGTACCTTTTCCACTCTCTAGTACACCTAGTTTTTGCCTCCCTACACCTTTGGGTGAACCAAGGACTCGTTCTGTTCTTCCCATTATTTCTGTTTCCCTTGGGAACAAACCTCTCCTCTGCCTCCTTGCATTTTGTTGCTACATAGTCCATCATTTCTTGTACTGGTTTTCCTGCCAGTTCCCTCTCCCACTGAATGTCTTGAAGGAAGTTCCTCATGCCTGAGTAGTTCCCCTTTTGTAGTTTGGTTTTTCCCAGCCTATTCCTGCTACTCTCTCCACTTGGAGCTCAACTATGTAGTCGAAGCACAGAACCACATGATCACTAGCTCCCATGGGCCTTTCATACATGATACCCTCGATGTCCGAACTACTCATGGTGAATACAAGTCCAGTCTTGCTGGTTCTATCCTCTCCTCTCTCTGGTAGTGTCTCTAACATGTTGATGCATGAGGTTTTCCAGTACCACATCCATCATCTTGGCTCTCCATGTTTCGGGACCCCCATGGGGCTCCAGGTTTTCCCAGTCAATCTCCTTGTGATTGAAATCACCCATAACTAGTAACTTTGCTCCCCCCATGTGTGCTCTCCTGGCCACCTCGGCTAGTGTGTGTCGATCATTGCTCTGTTGCTCTCATCGTATTCTTCTCTTGGCCTCCTGCAGTTCTGTGGTGGGTTGTACATTACTGCAATTATCACCTTATGTCCCTCAGACTGGATTGTTCCTACTAAGTAGTCCCTTTCGCCCGTGCCATCCATTCCTCCATTTTCTCAAAACCCCACTGGTTTTTAATGAGCAGTGCAACTCCTTCTCCCCTCTCCTCCCTCTGTCTTTCCTGAGGATTTGGTATCCGGATGGAAAGATTGAATCTGTTATTATTCTGGTGAGTTTTGTTTCTGTGAGTGCTATTATGTCTGGGGATGTCTCTTGATTCTTTCGTGCCACTCCTCATACTTGTTTGTTATTCCATCTGCATTTGTATACCACACCTTCAACTCTTTCTAAGACTGTGGTCTGGGAGGTATATTGGGGTTGGGGAAGTGGGAGACCTGGTAAGGAACTATGGGTTGTTGCTGTGGGGGTGGAGTTTGTAATGTAGTGGGTAGGGGCATTGGATGTGGCATGGGTGTTTTGATTTAGAGTGTTTGGTTGCACTGGGGTTGACCTGGTTGGGTGTGTGTGTGTGTGTGTGTGTGTGGGTGTGTGTGTGTGTGTGTGTGTGTGTGTGTGTGTGTGTGTGTGTGTGTGTGTGTGTGTGTATGTGTGTGTGTGTGTGTGTGTGTGTGTGGCTATGCATACGCCGGTTACTCTGGTCGTATATTAACACAACACAACCTGTGTAATAAGGGCACAAGAGCCTCGCGTCATCACAACAAACAATAACACTGACTAACAAATGTTGACATGAACACAAAATATATTATTTATTTCCAGTGTCGTGTTCTCAACTTTTTGTTTACTTAGTTTTTTTTTTTGTTTTGTTTGAGAACGTGATTCGAGTCCGCATGTTTACCCTGGTTCCTGCTGCTCTGTTCGTGTTGGGAATTTCTCCAGAGATCCTTGACTCTTACAAACTATGAATTGAGATCCTTCCTACACACAGAATTCTCCAGGAATGTTTGAATCCTTATAAGTAAGAATCCTGCATCACTAAGTATCCTTCGGGAATCCTTGGCAGCTCCTAAGCCAGCATCCTCTAACTAATAAAGTCCTTCAGGATTGTCTGATCCTCCTGATCGTATCTTAAGCACCTTGCGACTCAGAGTCCATCTTTAATCCTTCTTTCCTTCTAAGTAACAACGTTCATAAAGTTGCTACTCACGGAATCCTTAAGGAATCCTGGGCTCCTGTCAGGATCGTCTGACAGTTACTTTACACACACGACTCTTGAGAAATTTTACAAGCGAAATTCCTTTCAGTTATTCACAACTGATTAGCATTTCTCTCTCTCTCTTTTTACACAGGGTTTTACGAGGTTAAGTTAAGCATTCGTAACTTTACAAGCTAAGAGTTGTTACCTACATCAGCTCATTCGAAAGCCTTTTTATTGTTTGGAAACATAAAAATAGGGAACAGGATAAAGTTGAAGCCATCTGTAGGCCAGATGGCTCCAACTCTCTCTTTCTCCCCTCATTCTCTCCATCTTTCCACCTCTCACTAAAGTTACACTCACTGTATTCTCTTTCTCTCTCCCTCTCCCTGCTGCGCCTCCGTCAGTACCTCGCCTGGAGATCTTCGACGGTAGGGGCGAGGCCATCCTGGAGAAGTTCTACGAGGTGGGTTCTGGCATAGACTTACGTTGTGACGCTTACCACGTGCCCAGGGACGCCATCGTGTGGTCACGGGCCGGTGCCAAGGTCTACCACACTCCAGATGCCGGTGTCAGGTTGGTATTACCATGGGAAGTCCTCCAAGATATATATATATATATATATATATTATATATATATATATATATATATATATATATTATATATATATATATAATATATATATATATATGTATATATATATGGAAAAACAACCATAGGGGGAAAGTTGAATGATAGCTGTAGGTGTTTTGTGTTACAATGAGCACATTTTCAGGATCTTGGAATGTTACAGAAATGAGTAGGAATCCTCAGCAGGTTAGTTCAGTAAATTCTAGCTCGAGTGAGATAGATAGATAAATAGACAAATAAAATGACGGCTAAATAGACATTTATGAGGTATATCAGCAACTTGTAACATAACTAAGTTACGTCCACCTAGGGTTTCGCTCAACAGAGAGTACACAGAGAGAAAACTCTTTCTCTCTCTCACTCTCTCTCACTCACTCTAATACTTTGCTCTTACCAAACATGCATGATGCAACGCTCCCTTTGACATGAGACTATAATAATGAAGCCGTCAATTTGATTGCAAATTGTTGCAACGGCCGTCGAAAATTGTTAGGTGTTCCAGAAACTGGTTCCAGGGTTGACAGAGTGACCAGCCTCCTATTCCTAGCGAGTCCCTCTTCAGACGATATTCAACGCTTCTCTGGCTGATTCTTTTCACTGACCTCCTCTCCCCTCTCCCTTCTTCTTCCTCCTCCTGCTCCTCCACCTCTTCCACCGACACAACGAGGGAAAGGAAGGAGAGGGAAGGAAGGGAACATTTCATTAGGTTTAATGGCTACAGTCTTAATGGTGGTCCCAGCACCTCATTTCCAAGACCCAAAAGACCACAAGGATCCTCATTAGCTGCTGGTCTGGGTAACACAGACTCACACACACACACACACACACACACACACACACACACACACACACACACACACACACACACACATATATATATATATATACATTTATATATATATATATATACACGAGTATATATGAAAGGCATGTAAGTGAACACATACCATGAAGGTAATGAATGCAGAAAGTTATACATTAGTTTCACCTAGTGTTGTGGAGTATACAACTACCTGACTGTCTAACTTGTTCAGACCCATGTTGAGTTTGTGTGTGTGTGTGTGTGTGTGTGTGTGTGTGTGTGTGTGTGTGTGTGTGTGTGTGTGTGTGTGTGTGTGTTGTTTTGATTAACTTGTATACAAAGTATACGATTAACTGGTTCTCTGGGAAAACTGTTTACCAATCTTGACAAACATTGTGTCATCAGAGTGTTGCATCTAGACAACACTGGTAGCAACAGTAATCTTACTCCTGGCTGTGTCTCTCTCTTCTTGCCTTCCTTATTACCTTCTCAAATGATCTAAACTTCACAAGACTCGTTACTTGACTCTTGTATCCTTCTCTCTTTATTTTTCGTTACGTATCTTGACTTTCTTCTGTTTTAGTGGGTTTTATTTTACGTCTGTCACCCACTACCTCTCCCCTCAGTGGTCCTCTCTTCTTATCTACTGCTATAACTAGTACTGCTACTGCTGCTGCTACTACTACTACTACTACTACTACTACTACTACTACTACTACTACTACTACTACTACTACTACTACTACTACTACTACTACTAGATAGCAGTACGTCTGGCTCTCATTGCACTAAACTAAATTACAAAATAACCACCTCCATTGCTTACGTCAACCAGCTCTCTCTCTCTCTCTCTCTCTCTCTCTCTCTCTCTCTCTCTCTCTCTCTCTCTCCTCTCTCTCTCTCTCTCCCACAATACAATCATCACCACCCCTACAATCTACCGTCAACTTCCACCCATTCTTCGCCCATTCACAATCGACCATTATTCTCACGAATATATTTCGTCTGAAGCGCTGAGGCTTTCGTGCACCTGACTTGAAACCTCAACTACGTTCAACGATAATCTTGATACATGCAAATGTACGGTACAGAACAGTGCCACTATGTACGGTACAGCACAGTGCCACTATGTACGGTACAGCACAGTGCCACTATGTACGGTACAGCACAGTGCCACTATGTACGGTACAGCACAGTGCCACTATGTACGGTACAGCACAGTGCCACTATGTACGGTACAGCACAGTGCCACTATGTACGGTACAGCACAGTGCCACCATGTACGGTACAGCACAGTGCCACTATGTACGGAACAGCACAGTGCCACCATGTACGGTACAGCACAGTGCCACTATGTACGGAACAGCACAGTGCCACCATGTACGGTACAGCACAGTGCCACCATGTACGGTACAGCACAGTGCCACTATGTACGGAACAGCACAGTGCCACCATGTACGGTACAGCACAGTGCCACTATGTACGGAACAGCACAGTGCCACCATGTACGGTACAGCACAGTGCCACCATGTACGGTACAGCACAGTGCCACTATGTACGGAACAGCACAGTGCCACTATGTACGGAACTGAACAGTGCCACTATGTACGGAACAGCACAGTGCCACCATGTACGGTACAGCACAGTGCCACTATGTACGGAACAGCACACAGTGCCACCATGTACGGTACAGCACAGTGCCACCATGTACGGTACAGCACAGTGCCACTATGTACGGAACAGCACAGTGCCACTATATACGGAACAGCACAGTGCCACTATGTACGGAACAGAACAGTGCCACCATGTACGGTACAGCACAGTGCCACCATGTACGGTACAGCACAGTGCCACCATGTACGGTACAGCACAGTGCCACCATGTACGGTACAGCACAGTGCCACTACGTACGGAACAGCACAGTGCCACCATGTACGGTACAGCACAGTGCCACTATGTACGGAACAGCACAGTGCCACCATGTACGGTACAGCACAGTGCCACCATGTACGGTACAGCACAGTGCCACTATGTACGGATCAGCACAGTGCCACTATGTACGGAACAGCACAGTGCCACTATGTACGGAACAGCACAGTGCCACCATGTACGGTACAGCACAGTGCCACTATGTACGGAACAGCACAGTGCCACCATGTACGGTACAGCACAGTGCCACCATGTACGGTATAGCACAGTGGCACTATGTACGGAACAGCACAGTGCCACTATGTACGGAACAGCACAGTGGCACTATGTACGGAACAGCACAGTGCCACCATGTACGGTACAGCACAGTGCCACTATGTACGGTACAGCACGGTGCCACCATGTACGGTACAGCACAGTGCCACTATGTACGGAACAGCACAGTGCCACTATGTACGGTACAGCACAGTGCCACTATGTACGGTACAACACAGTGCCACCATGTACGGTACAGCACAGTGCCACTATGCACGGTACATCACAGTGCCACCATGTACGGTACAGCACAGTGCCACTATGTACGCTACAGCACAGTGCCACCATGTACGGTACAGCACAGTGCCACTATGTACGGTACAGCACAGTGCTACCATGTACGGTACAGCACAGTGCCACTATGTACGGTGCATCACAGTGCCACCATGTACGGTACAGCACAGTGCCACTATGTACGGTACAGCACAGTGCCACCATGTACGGTACAGCACAGTGCCACCATGTGCGGTACAGCACAGTGCCACCATGTACGGTACAGCACAGTGCCACCATGTGCGGTACAGCACAGTGCCACCATGTACGGTACAGCACAGTGCCACCATGTACGGTACAGCACAGTGCCACCATGTACGGTACAGCACAGTGCCACTATGTACGGAACAGCACAGTGCCACTATGTACGGTACAGCACAGTGCCACTATGTACGGTACAACACAGTGCCACCATGTACGGTACAGCACAGTGCCACTATGTACGGTACAGCACAGTGCCACCATGTACGGTACAGCACAGTGCCACCATGTACGGTACAGCACAGTGCCACCATGTACGGTACAGCACAGTGCCACTATGCACGGTACATCACAGTGCCACCATGTACGGTACAGCACAGTGCCACTATGTACGCTACAGCACAGTGCCACCATGTACGGTACAGCACAGTGCCACTATGTACGGTACAGCACAGTGCCACCATGTACGGTACAGCACAGTGCCACTATGTACGGTGCATCACAGTGCCACCATGTACGGTACAGCACAGTGCCACTATGTACGGTACAGCACAGTGCCACCATGTACGGTACAGCACAGTGCCACCATGTGCGGTACAGCACAGTGCCACCATGTACGGTACAACACAGTGCCACCATGTACGGTACAGCACAGTGCCACCCTGTACGGTACAGCACAGTGCCACCATGTGCGGTACATCACAGTGCCACCATGTACGGTACAGCACAGTGGTACTATGTACGGTACATCACAGTGCCACCATGTACGGTACAGCACAGTGCCACTATGTACGGTACAGCATAGTGCCACCATGTACGGTACAGCACAGTGCCACCATGTGCGGTACAGCACAGTGCCACCATGTACGGTACAGCACAGTGCCACCATGTGCGGTACAGCACAGGGCCACCATGTACGGTACAGCACAGTGCCACCATGTACGGTACAGCACAGTGCCACCATGTACGGTACAGCACAGTGCCACCATGTGCGGTACAGCACAGTGCCACTATGTACGGTACAGCCCAGTGCCACCATGTAAGGTACCTCACACCTATAATGCTCTATAATGCAACTGACACTAGAGCTTTCTAATGCAGTTAACACTAGAGCTCTATAAGGCAATTAACACTAGAGCTCTATAACACAATATAGAAAGCTCTATAATACAATACAAAAAAACTCTGCGGTGCAGATTACACGGCTCAAAAAAGCCTGTCGTATAAATTCTTGCTCTTTTAATTAAGTTGAGGGGGGTGGGGAGGAGATAATGCTCACCTGAGATGACTGACAGGTGGGAGACAGGTGGTGCTGGGAAGTAATTATCAGGTGAGTGCATTAGCCCAGCTGTTAATAGATTATCTCTGTGCCTTTAATTCCTGTCTTTTCTTCTATGTTGTATGTCTTTCTCTCTCTCTCTCTCTCTCT